TCTTGGAATTATGTTGTGTTTTGTGACTACGACAGTCTTTAACTCGGTGTCCTAGCTTGCCGAATATGTAGTAATTCCCAGTGAGCCTCTTGTAGTTTCCTTGGTTGGGACTTTCTCCAAAGTGCTTCCTTTTCTTATTTTTCTGTCCAGCTTCCACTACATTTGCCTTTGACACCATTGAAGAATTCCCAGCTTTCTTTTCAGATGTGCAGTTATCTTCTTCAATTCTAAGCCTGACAATTAGTTCTTCGAGCCCTATTTCCTTGCACTTATGCTTTAAGTAGTTTTTAAAATCTTTCCAAGTAGGTGGCAGCTTTTCAATGATTAAAGCTACTTAAAAAGATTCACTCAAAGTCATCTTCTCATCATGTATCTCATGTAGGATTAGCTGAAGCTCCTGCACTTGGCTCATGACAGTCTTGGAGTCTACCATTTTGAAGTCCAGAAATCATCCGACCACGATCTTTTTCAAGCCAGCATCCTCTGTTTTATACTTCTTGTCTAGTGACTCCCGTTGCTCTTTAGCAGTATTTATTGGACTGTACACATTATATAGAGTGTTGTCGAATCCATTGAGGATGTAATGCTTGCATAAGAAGTCTCCATGCTTCCATGCATCAACAACTCCTAGCTTAGTAACGTCAGTCCACCCTTTTCTAGAATTGGGGCAGTCTCAGTTGGGAACTTGCTTAGATTTAGAGTTGTAAGGTAGAACATCATTTTCTGTTGCCACTTTTTAAACTCCGCCCTATTAAAGTTTTCGGGCTTCTCCCCATGACTGATGGGAACATTAGGCATAGTAGTACTTGTACTTGCCATTCGTTTGATATGTATTAAATATACAGACTACGAGTCAATTTACAGTAATAAAATAACAACGATATTTAAATAATTAAAACTATAGTATAAAAGAATTTGTTTTAAGATTGTTGTCCAAAATATGGTTCAACTATACCATATATTATAGTATTATTTATTTAAATATTATGTAAGAATATAATGTTTATATATATAATTATTATTATAAAATAATAATCTATATACATATATAATTTATTATAATATATAGTTTAATATAATAAAATAAAAACTACAAAATAAAATAACTTGATTAAAAGTCGAGGCTAGAATTTGATTCTATATCCTTAAGACAGATTCGCGCCGCTATGTTACTAACGGACTCAGTGATGTCTATCTCACAGAATACAACGACTTATCTTCCTTCGGTAGTAGCACTGCAAACTGAAGGAATAAGCGAACTGGCTTGGTGTAGTACTCTATCACAGAAGTAGACTTGAACTCGGACTTAAACTCACAGATAAGACTCGAACCCACAAACTAAGGCTTGAACCCACAGACTAAGGCTCGAACCCACAAGAAGAGAGAAGGAATAAGAGAATTCAGAAATAAGAAGAAGTATTCTGAATTGGTGTGTTTTGCAAATGATCCAAAGGGGGGGTTATTTAGAGGTAGCAAGGTGCCTTTTCGGGTGGGTGTAACAATGGGTTATGACGGTTCAGAAAAAGGTGCAATCCTTTGGAAAAAAAAACTAAAAGGTGGTTTTAATTTAAATTTAAAAAACTAATTTTAATTTAAATTCAAATACCAACCACCCATTTGTGAAACTCATTTAAATAAGCCCAGCCTAAAAATAGGCCCAATCCAAAATTTCATTTAGTAAAAAGAATAACCGGACTTTACAATTAGACCCAAGCCCAAGCCCAAGCCTAAGCCCAAACCCCAAACATGACTTATTTAAAGTTCAATTGGTTTCAACATTTTTTCCATGTGGGACAAGCACTTTCCACATTTTGCATACCCATTTAGGCTTATCAAAACACCACACTTTGAAGCTAATTTCTCATTCACCCGAAAACGGATTTGAGAAAATAAATTGTTGACCTTAAGGACTCCATCCAAGGACAATCTAGAGGTTTTGATGATAACAAACCATTAATAGTGTTTAATGACTAATGTTCACATTGAGTGTTATATAGATTATTCACATTCAAAGAAGAACCTCAATGAAGCTAAAGATCATTCCAAATATTCCATTATTCAAGATCACATCAAGGAAAACAATGGATACAAAGAAGTCATCAAGTTGTAAAGAACTAAATGCAAAGTCCATCCAAAGATAGCTTGGACTATAACGAGCAAGAAAGCAACTCAAAAGAAGGAAGAAAACAAGTCTACCTCAAAGCCTAAAGATTATGGACAAAGCTTGAAGAAAATGGTAGATAGGATGGTGAATGTCTAGGATTCAATGTCAAAGTATTTATGAATTCATTTGAAGCTCATCTCCACAGGACAATACATATATATCATCATTCATATGTTCCTAGATATATTAGTAATAGACTATGCACTTCATTTATATATAATTGCACATGAAGTCATTGCTAAAGAGTAAGTTAGTTCAAGCTTTCATAAGTTTTGAAAGAACTCATCACTTGTGCTAGAAGTGCTAAGACCATACACATCAATCATATAATTCATATTGGTCAACAATTAAGGCATGAGAAACCTTCATTACCATGAGTTGGTAACGGACATTAAGACCCCAGAATGCACGTCATGAAAAACTGTGTTTTAGCTAAGTGTGAAAAATGAATTTTTGAAATAATGATTATTTCAAAATAATTTTTCCCGGTAATAACTCTTTATATTTCAACTAGCATAAACTGATTTTATCAGAATTTTTGACCTAGTGTACATTGGTCTACATAAGGATTCATTTTTACCAAAACTGTCAGAAATCCAAATTTATACTAAAACTGAATTTCTACATTTTGATTTAGTTGGATTTTAATTTTCTAGTATTTTTTTATTGAATCCAAATGGGGGGTACTTCCTTATTTACATTGTAAACTTAAAGTAAAGACATTTACTTAAATGTTTTCAATGGAAATATAAATACTGTAAAGATATTTACTTAAATGTTTTCAATGGAAATAAGGTCTGTGCAGATGTCCTGTGGAGTAACTGTCTCATCTGTTTACTTAGAACATAATTTCTGAAACTGAAGTTCCATTTCGGCGGACCGAAATGAAGAGGTAATATGAATCGGACGACCGATTCTTACAGAAAGTTTTGAACAAAGGAGGAAGGTGTTTTGGTCGACCGAAACACAAGGCTAACTTATTTCGGCTTACCGAAATAAGGCACTCAGCAGATCTCATTTCATTTCGGACGGTCGAAATAAATCTCATTTCAATTCGGTCGACCGATGTAAGTCCAGTTTGAATCTAAATGGCTATTTCCTTTCGGGTAGCGTGCACAACAGCTCTAATTTTGAATTAGCTCATCAAAACTCTATAAATAGAGTTGGGGACTTCGGGATTAGTTGTTGCTACACTTGAGAGACATCTTCTAGCATCATAAGAGCTTTTGTTCTTCATTTATATCATACTCTCTCATCCCATATCATTCATAGAGTATTGAGCTTCAATCTATTCATATATATACTCCAGAGTGAGCTGAAAGTTGTGAGCTAATATTTGCATATCAATCTTTGAGAGATATATTTGTATGCAACAAATCTGATCTTCAATTTGTAAGGCTGGTGTGGTCCAAGGAAGAAGAAACAAGCTAGCTTCATTTTTGTAAGGGTTGGTGTGACCCAAAAGAAGACTAAGAGAGGTTGTCTCTTAACAAGGAGAAGTAAGGAGTTGCTTTTAATCAAGGTTTGCTCTCCACCCGTAAGGAGGTGCCATAGTGGATTGGGAAGTCTTAAGAGGGGTCTTGAGCCGAGGAGTAGGAGTTTCTGAACCTCACTCAAATTGCCGTGTGAATATTTGCAAATCTTTCTTCCCTTATCTCCTTTACATTTATGCTATTAATTGCTTATGTCTATATATTGATTATTGCATAATTATTAGAAAGTTTTAAATAGAAATTGCAAATCCAAAAATTAGTCATTGTTTGCCATAGACTCTATTCACCCCCCTCTAGAGTCAATTCTTGGGTAACATAAATATACCATATCACCTCTTTGTGGATAGGAACACGTTTGTTTATAGATTCGCAAAAAATTCTTAACGGAATCTATTCTAAATTTCATCAAAAGTTTCTATTTTGTATACCTTGTTTCCAACATGAAAAGAGTTGAATCATAATAGATTTCTTTCTCTTCCTTGTTTGCAATTCTCTTTCGTCCTATATTACATTCTTTCTTATATTTTACAACAAATGACACATATGTATGTATAATATATATATATATATATATATATATATATATATATATATATATATATTAATTGGGTTTGGGGCAGGTTAGTTTTGGAGTGGGTTCAACGCAATATCCGTCCTCACCCCGAATCTAATATGGCTTTTAAGTTTAAATATCATAATCCCCCACCTCTATTTAAGAGTTTACAAAATTCATCCTATTAGGAGTGAAGTGGATGGAAATAGGTTGGCTTGAGGAAATTGTAATCTCTAAAAGCGGTGTGATAGTTACTTTTTATAAGTTTAATATAAGAAGGTTAAATTGATAATATTATAAAAAAAAATAGTAAATTGACTTTTCAAATTGAACAATTATTTTGGGACGGATAAAAAAAAAAAAAAAAAGGTGAACACTTATTTGTTGGAGATGAAGGAAGTAATAGTATAAATGATTAGTTCAATAAATTTTTGACAAATTAATTATTTATTGTTATTATTTTTTATTTATTTGTTCCTATTAGAATTTGAATTCACACCATTCTTTTTGGAAGATAGAGAAAATATGGAGGGTAATTTGGTTCGCACTACTTGTTCATCGACACAGAGATTTTCTATTGAAGTAACTTTTCTAACCCAAAATAAAAATAAAAATAATTTTTAGGCCCATATTGTTCAAAGTGATTTATAAATAGTCACTGTTGATCAGTGACGCAAAATATAAGGCGGTGAGGCCTTCACTTCCTCAGTATTTAGTAAAAATGCCCAATAAATAATTGTAGGTTAAACAATTCATTTTGACCTGGCTAACTATCATTACTCAAAAAAATAAAAAAATAAAAGAGGGGAAAAAAAATTGGTTAGCTAGAGTTAGAACTAGAAAGTCCAATCTCTCTAATTAGGTTAGGGTTTTAAAGTAATGTGAAACTGCAATTCACTTCTGACGGCCAAATTAGGACGTCTTATACATCTCTCTCTATAGTTTATGAAATTCTAGAACAGGACAGAGACTGCCATGGATGCGAACAGCGAAGAATTCGGAGTGGGCTGTATTCTATCAATCAAAACCACCCTGGGCGATGAGTTCGACGGCCAAGTTATCACTTTCGATCGGCCCTCCAACATCCTCATCCTTCATATCCTTTCATTTTTCACTCTTTTTTTTTTTTTTTTTAATCATCTGTGATTTCTCTCTCTTCATTGCTTAAACCCTAAATTTTGATCTCTGTTTGTGTTGTTTACATTTATGCAATTTGAATTCCATAACTATCTATGTGTTTGATTGTCACAAGAGGGTTTGAACTCTGGATCTGGACCACGGCGAAACATTAGGCTATTGAAGGCCAACTACATTAAGGAGTTCTCTTACTTGGGTAAAGCCGAAGACCCTCTTGATCTCAAAAAATGTTACCTTGATCTTCCTAGTCTCCAAGCTAGGGAAGAATCAGCAATTAGGTAATAATTAATATTTGATCACAACCCATTATTTGATTTTTTTGGTTTTTTTTTTTCTTCTTTCATTTCCCATGTCATTTCAATTTGTACTTCCCCACCCTTTTTCATTTATTACTTGAATTTATTATTATTTTATGAGCTGAAATGGTGAATTGCAGACAAGCAGAGATGGAAGCTGAGAGGATAGGTGTGGGTGTTACCCCTGAGGCTCAGAACATTTTTGATGCATTGTCTAAAACGTAATAACTTTACCCTTTTCATAGAATTTTTATTTTTATTTTCCTAAAGCCATAGTCTTTTGCATATATAATAACCCCCTTTTTAACGATTACATATTCCACACCTTGTTCACTAACTCTGAGCAGGTCGCATTGTCTGATATCATAATTATGCATTATTTACAAATTATATTGTCTGTAGATCAATCAAGATCCTAAATTCTTTGTTTAAAGTACCTCATTATCTCATTTGGAGTGTACAGTTGTTATTCATAATCAATTTCTTGTTGGGACTTTATATGTACAAGAAAAAAAAACCCATGATTGGAGAAGTAGTGATATAAGGAGTGTAACTTTAGCTGAATAAGAACTACAATAAACGAGTAATTAAGATTGTTGATAAAGGATGCCTAAGGTTGAGCATTTTTGTTATCTAGGCTCTATTAGTCATAGATAGGATGATGTTGGAGAGGATGTTTCTCATGGTTTTAAAGAAAAATCAGTTAACTAGATGAGTGTTTAAAGAGTATTGTCTGATTGATGTAAAACTATGAATTTGGAAGGAAAATTCTGTCATTTAGATGTAGGACTAGTCATACTATATTTCTATAGAACTGATGTGGGCAATTAAGAAATGACTCACATTCATGAAATAAACTTGTGTGGAATGTGTATGTTAAGACGGGTGAGATAAAACAATAAATGGTAAAATTAAAAACGTGTGTATATATATATATTTATGTATTTCAAAATTGTAAAAGTAGAATTTATTGGAGATAACATGGGAGAAAATTAATTACCGAAAAAATTATTAAAAAAATTCGATAATGATCATTTTTCCATATGCAACAACTAATATTTGCATGAGAAGAGTGACATTATGCACATCAAGGATAATAATAAGTAAAGGAAAAACCTAAATCAACACTAGTTATATTGCCTAGGGTCCAAGCATATTTGATGCATCGTCTAAAACGAAATAACCTTACCCTTCTTATTTATCTTATTCCTTTTTTTCCCTCTTAAAGTGATAGTATTTTGCAAATATAAGTTCTCCTTTTTGTTATCCAGACTATATTAGACATAGAGAGGATGATATTGGAGAGGATGAGTAAACTACTTATCAAAAAAAAAAAAAAAAAAAAATTTGTGGATGAGTGTTTATGGGGTATTGAGTGATCGATGTACAACTATGAATTTGGAAGGAAAATTTTACTAGTTATGCTGCATAGAACCAATGTGGACAGTTAAGAAATAACATATTATGAAATTAGTGTGTGGGAATGCATACATTTAAGATTGGTGTCAAAATGATAAAATTAAATGCACACATACAATTGTGAATTATAGAAGCAGCATCGATTAGAGATAACATTGGACTTAGGAGGAACTTATGTGGAAGGGTTGGGATGAATTTCCCAATGCATCCGGGTTAGGAGTGGGAGACAGGTCAGATTTTGGGAGGACCACTTGTGTGGGAACTTTGCTATGGCTTGTAGATTATCACAACTTTTAGGATCTCTACGAACATGCATGCCTTGGTTGCCGACCGTTATCGGCTTGATAGCGGTAGGACGACTTGTGATGTTCAGTGTCATGGAGAGTTTCACGATTGGGAGCTCGCGGAGGTAACAAAGTTTCTAGTAGTCAGGTGGTGGAGGGGAATGAGAAGGTGATGGATGAGATGGTCTGGAAGGACTCCCCCAGAGGGATTTTTGGTGTGCGATCATTCGATTAGAGTGTTCTATAGTTGGCTGCTGTCAGTTTTTTGTTTATTCTATAGCGTTCCTCTATGAGTACCTGTAATGAAATATTATATATAGCCATAAAAACTAATAGTTGTTTGATGAAGAGTTAAAAAGAATAGACACTTCTCCTAGGGCGCCGTGGGCTGCGGCGGTATCGAACACGTGTCAAACACGCAATCACAGCTCAGACATGTATATAACACGACTAGGAGTGTTTTGAAATTATTTTATTTTCTGACGCGGCTGGGACATGGCAAGGACACGTTTGGATACTTTCAGGACACGACATAGTGGTTTTGTAATTATTTATTTAGAAGAATGGGATTCAATGCAATTTAAAATATGTTATGGGTTAGTTAGAAAAATGATATAAAATTTAAGAAAATAAACATCTAGCTCTAAGCTCCAAATTAGTGGTTTCATTCATGATTATATTGATAAAATGAGCAAAAATTATTATTTTTAAATATATATAGAATTATATAGTATATTATTATTTTTTGGCATATCCATGCCATATCTGTGTCTTATTTTTTTCTAGATTTGTCGTATTGCCATGTCCGTATTGGGTCCTACCCATGTCCGTATCCGTGCTTCCAAGATAAAGAGTGTCATTATACACATTGAGGATAATGATAGGAAAAGGAAAAACCAAAACCAATATTAGTCTTACTTCTAAAAGATTTTGTAGTGTGTGACTAAACTCAATGGAAGTTGTTGTCCTAGATGGTGTGAATGACATATAGGATTCTTGTAGTGGACTTCTTTGAATTGTTTTTTTCTTGTAAATTAGGTATGTTCTAGAAAATATAAGAGCCAGCATTAGCCTGAAGCTATTCCGTAACATATAAAGGCATAGGATCAGGATTTGATATAGTAGCCACCTTAACATACATAATGTATTATCAGGGAATGATACCATTACAAGCTAATATATTATCCCTAAAAATTTTTTCTAGGCCTTAACTACAATTTCAAATTTTCAATAGTACCTTATAAATTTTATTTATTTGTCCTTCCGAGAATTTGAGGTTCCAAAACTCTCCAAAAAACACACCATAATCCTAGTTTTCTACTAAATTTACAATAAATAAGATTATAAGCTTAAATCTTGAATCAAGAGTTTGGGACATTTATTAAATCTGTAGATTCCAATTTTTTTTCATTTCTTGTAACCTTTTCACTTTATTTAGGCTATAATTAACCTAGAATTGTTGTTTAATGTTAGATATTGAGATATTGTTTGTAAATCATGTTTTGAACCACAAATATACCAATTTATTTTCACTTTTCAATCTAGAGGTAAGTTGCTTATGTATAAAATTACTTTTCTTTTGTGATCTGTATTTTGTAAGTTGTATTTGCAAGCTTGATTACATTTTTAATTATTTCATGATTTTTGAAGACTTTTTATTTTGTTTTAATATATTTTTTAATGTTTACTTTTGTCACATAGGTAACTTTCATTGCATCCTTTTTCATGATGTTTATATGTGAGGTTGAGATTAGAATATTTTTGAACAATTTATTGAATAATTTTTATATATAATCTCATGTTTAAGGAGTCATGAGAATTGCAAAACGTAAAAATTAGTATTCCCTCAGTCCCAATTTAACTGTCCCTTTTTGGGAACTTAACTGTTTAAGAAGTGGTTTTTAATATTTTTTTCATTGTATTGGTAGTGAATGAATTACCAAAACTATCCATGGTGGGTCCAAGTGATGTGATGATGTTTTGTTTTTATAAGTTCAATGCAAGAAGGGTAAATTGGGAATGGCGTAAAATAGTACATTGACTTTTTGATTTGGGACAATTATTTTGGGACAACCAAATAAGGAAAGGTGGACACTTATTATGGGACAGAGGAGTAATTTTTTATTGCTGACAAATGACTTAAGTTCAATGCAAAATCCATTTTAGGTTCTAAATCATCTCTCAAATATATTTTGTGGTGTTGCATAGTGAAAGTTCATGCCTTTGCTAGGTGCTCCATTACATCTTGAGCATGTGTCTCCATGGCTGTTAGCATTATGGCAGCCGTTGCATTATTTGAAAGCTTGTATAGAATCATTAATTATTAACTTATCACTACTACTTCATCCAATCATAAATATAATATATATGCCTCTTTATAAACATGGTCAACCTTATGCATGCCAATTCTTTCATAAGGTACCTGTAGCAGATATAAGGGAGCTGAGATCTTCCTGATTGCTAGTAAGGAGTTCATTAGCAAGCTTTACATCAACCTTATTTCCATATTGGTAATATTGCTGTTAAGCAACTTGGAGGACATCTCTGTGCATGTTACTCAGGTTCCTCACTTAAAGAAATTCGAATGTGTCAGGAAAATCTCTTCACACATTTGCCTAGGTGGTCTACAATGAGATCCTCATCACCTGCGCTGCCAGGGTTCCCTTGGATACTGAATTTAAATCAATAATTCTAGGTGGATTCCATTTAATCTGAGTCAGGGTTCTGGTAGAAGGTGGAGACCCATGATTCTGACCCATCCAAACGCTTTGGCCTTACAGTTGGGCTCAAAGCATGCTTCTTTTGCAACCAAATACACCAAACTCTAGCATTTTATTTGATTTTTGAAGCCAAAAAAATGGGCTGGTTGGAACAACAAACTGTAAGCTGACTGACTAGGTAATATGCCATTGCCCATCTGTTGTAAGTTTCGAGGCCAACTAATCAGCCAGCTTACCAGAATCCTGAAAAGGAAGAGTTTTCTATTTGATGATTTCAGGGAATTCCTGTAAATAGATTGCTAAGATTCCAGTCCCCTTTATCCCATCATCTACTCTTGTTGGTGCTGGACTTGTTTAACGAGGAGTAGAAACCAATTTCATGATTAGGCTGAAGCCTGTCCAATTCTCCTACAAAATTCCACCCAGCATAGAGTTTCCTCAACTTTTGAGCTAATTGACTCACTTTGACACTTAGACACAAATAACAAAATAAAATCACAATATTGGACTGTTATAACGAAATTTACAAACTCCAGGATTCTAAGTTCTAACATAGATGTCAGTTTAGTTGATCAGTCATTCAATAGTGTTTGCAGAGTATTTACTTACAAAATTTTGCTTTTGTGGTCATAAAATTTATTTCCATTTCCAAGCATAGCTCCTGACTACTCTTCTTCTTCCCCCCTTGAAGTTTCTCATATATTGTAGGTTGACATGCAAACAAATGGATTTTGGTTCAAGAAGATTTCTCTAAAAAAAATAGGGGCAATAGCTTGATCCATTCATGTTGATTGGGATTTTCTACATCTAATCAAGATTGTGAAATGCTTTTGATGTTGTCCTCATTTTTATTTTTTTTGTCATTTTAGGAAAAAAATGTTGTCCTCAATTCTTTCTTTTTGTAGCCAATTGAATAATCTGATAATTCTTGCTGGGCAATCTTCAACCTGGAATCAGTGGAGTGATTTTTTGATCATTAGCCTGCATTAGGATGTGGCAAAAGTAATCAACTCACAATCGTGGATTTCTGATACTGAAGGGGCTAGGATAATAAGCTAAAGATATGAGGTGTCTGCTCCAAATTTGTTTTCGTGCTAAGGACTGTTAGACATTCAGGAAGGAAGATAATTGCTTCATGTTTACCTAGAGTATATATAGTTTCTATGTTTAAAGCGTTAGTGTACACAGCATATGTAAGAACCCAGATTTAGGTTGAGCTCATGCGGCATAAATCGTATGGTTTTATGTTGGTTGGATCATAGTCTTTCAGTGCTCTCAAAAATTTTGAATGTGATATTTTTTTTCCTACTCTGGGACTAATTTAGAATCTGCAAGAACTTATCATGTTTACCGATAAGTAACTGTTTTTCTGCAATTGATATCATTGGCTATATAATCAGGCTTCCAGTGCGCTGGGACAAGACTGTCATAGTTGTGATGAAGGAAGTGCGTGTTTGCAGTCCATATCTTCCTGAGTCTGTCAGTGGAGGAACTCCTGCTGCCAATGAGCGGGTGAAGAAAGTGGTAAGACACTCGAGGGAAAATACTTCAGTTGTGCTGAAAGTTTGATGAAATAAATTGTTTTATTTTATCGTTCTGTTTCACTTAGTTTTTAATTTTTTCTCCGCTATTTAGCTTGAGCTTGAAAGGAAGAGGTTGCTATCTCGTGGTACTGGTCAGTAATGGTTTCACCTAGCATTGTAAGATTGCAGGGGAAAACACCTTGAGGTATGAGTAATATGATGGCGATGTTGCTTGTACCTAATCTCGTCTGAAAAAGGAAAAAAAACAGATTCTGTTGACCAAGACAATCTAAGGCTTAATTAATGAAAACTGTTGATTTTCTTATAATATCAGCTCTTCTTTCATTATACCATTTATTGATGTGTCTTTTAGTTGTTGGTAGTTGTTGGGTGATGCCAAGTGAGTCCTGTCTGGGTTCATTTTACATGCGCTTCAAGTAAAAATTCAACTGTGTTGTGCTTCTTCATGTCAAATGTCAATTGCAAATTGTTCGGCTGTTCTTATGGTAATCATAATGAAAGGATTGCTAAAATTGAAAGAAATTTATATGTAAAGTTGCAAGGGTATTCTAATTTATATATCTTTCTCTTCTACAAATAGTAAAAATAAATGTTTGTCAACTTATGGAGTTGACACCTTTCAACTCCAAGGTTATGGCAGTATTATACCCCAATTTTGAGTATAAAATTGTAAATATAGCTTATTTCAAATGGAAATACAAATCTGATAGTGAAGAAGAACCCACTCTTGGAAAGAGACCAATGAACAGGTCGGATATTTGAACCAGCAAGTCTGTCATTCTAAGAATGTGCTGCCGTTCATGAATTTCAAGGTTAGAGAGGAAAATTAAATTTTTTTTTTTTTTTTTGAGGTAAGATTGGAGGAATGTCTTGAGATATCAATCTGGTGTTGTGCTTGTGTGTGCTTGTGGGAGGAGAGAGGTGTGATGATTACCCTCCACTCAGCCAAACTACTTAAGGGAGTTTGATAGTTGGATAATAGATCCAAGAATCTGCTTAAGTCTGTCACTCTAGGAATATGCTGCCGAACCTCAACTCAACTACTTAAGAGAGGCCAGTGCTTGTTATACCCTGATTCTCCTTGATCATCTTCACACCTGGTCTTGAAAGTGAAATATGAGAATTGGAATGTTTTGAAATTATGTGGTTTTGTGTACAAGATTGTGATGTACATACTTATCTTCTACTCCATTGTTCACCCTTTATTTTTAGGTTATTTATTTATTTTTATTTATTTATTTATAAGTAAGATTTCATTAAAGGCGCTCAAGAGGGGAGCACTCCCAAAGGAAGACAAAGAAGCCTAAGATGGCAGTATAATTTCGAACTATCCACAAAATCCAAAAGATGCCCCAAAGATTTACAATTTACCCCATTGACCCAAAAAAGATAATTAGAAAGAATATTGTATTTGAGAGACCAAATAGGGGACTCCTCTCCATCAAAGGATCTCCTATTGCTCTCATGACACAAACCCCACCATAAACAAAGGGGTGTGGCCCTCCATGCATCCCTGGCTCGGCTCTCCACTAAACACGCTCTCCAAGCCTCTAACATATCAACTGTTAATGGAATTTTCATTAATGGTCTCAGGGGAGGTTAAAGTAATAAGGCTCAAAGACTCTATCCATGTGTAATTTGACCAAAGCTCGGGGAGGTCAGTGTAATTTGCCCTTAATTTTAAGGTAAGAGGGCCAAGGGAAAGTATGTGGAAAGTAACTTCAGTATATATGTGGGACTAGCAAAAAGACTGATGTTTGCAGGAGGCTATGGAGCACAATCAATTTTGTGAATTTAGATTGATCATTTGTTAGAAATGTAAAATTGAAATGGGATGTTGTCTGTGCTTTAGGTCTTGACAGCTGGAGTGTAAATCACCTACACTATGCGAACACCATATACCTATGAAATTAAAAGGAAAAATGCTATAAGATGGCCAAAGACGAACCTTGTATAATTTGCTGGAATGAGATCATTTTGATGGCTGAATGGTGTAATAAAAGAGAAGAGAGTTTGGGAGTGGAATGCTGTCACTATAAGTCATGTTTTGAAGTGAATATACTGAAGATGAGGATTGTCTGGTGGATGATTGCTATAGAATAAGAAATGAATGCATCAATGGATTGTTGAAGATGAGACAAGTTGAGAGCAAGAGAAATGAATTTTTTAGGGACAGGACAGGCACCCGAAGCAGGACAAGCAGTGTTTAGATACTAACCAATAGTAACCAGAAAGGAAGAAGGGGATGAGAATGAGAAGATGAGATGAGGCGAGATGAAGAAGTTGAGAAGACAGACGAAGGAGGTGAGAAAATAGATTGAAGGATGTAGGCTAAAAACACTGAAGGATTAAGAACATCAAGAACAAGGAGGGGAAGGGACACAAAGGGAGTTTGCAAACTCAACAATAATATTGAATATTCTCAAAACTGAATTGTACGTTTACAAAGAAGCCTTTATATAGGCGAAACATTAAGCAAACCCTAATATATGAAATACTAAAATAACCATAAAAATAGAACATTGCAAAAATAACAATGAACATAATAATGTATCCTAACTTACAAAATTCCTAATTCTATTTTTCTTTTCCTCTTCTCCAAAAGTAACGTTGGACAAATCACATCCCGTTCCCCATCACCTATGGGAGGTCAGAGTTTGCAAAACCCCAGACTAGGTTTAGAGGGGGTGCATAGGTCTCAAAAATAAAATAATCCATAAATTCAAATTTCTTGTAACTTGTATAAACCTGAAATTCAAGTATATCTAACTACGCAAGTAAAAATTGTTAAGTGTGCAGGAAATAAAGAGAACTTGCCAAAAAAGGACACAACTTGTGATTGATCTCCTTTACTAGTCGTCCAAGCTTTAGGTTGTGGGGAAATTATTGTATTGGAGTCTTTCAAGCACTAGGATTGTAAATGATCAACACTCAAAGATTTTCACCATCTAGATGATATGATGACGAATGAAAGAAATAAATTTTAGTAGGTTGATTGTTAGATTGCATCTAGTATGCTTCTCAACGCTCTATAATCCTTACCTTTGTTGCTGAAAAGATAGGTTTCTTTTGATAAAAGTTTGAGGCTGAAAAGACTAGGATTTTAGTGTTTAAATATTTTTGGGAACTGCCTTTCCGATGGGTTAGATCGATCCAAAATCAGGTTCAATCAATCAAACCTGGTACTATATCGATGCTTGGATTGATAAAAAAACTTATGTTTATATGTGTATCAAAACATTTTTTATGCATTCAAGCCATAATCTAAGGATTAAAACATATATGTTATGAACCTCAACACTATTAATGATCAGAATACATGACTGGGCGAATAATTTTCAAGTTAAATTTATTGTTATACCTTGCTGAATCTTTAAATCTCCAATTTGACTTTGGATAGAGGTAACTAGACTAATGAAAAAAGACAAAAAAAAAAAAAAAAAAAGAACACTAAGAATCAGAACTTACAAAGTACAGGGAGTGTCAAAACCCAAAGCACCGAAGACATTGACATATGATATAGCCCAAGACAGCTGAATGGCAGATAGAAAAGAAAAAAGTTTGTGTATCTGACACAAATGTTGGGTTTTGAGTGGTGTTAAATAGATTAATTTCTCGAGCATGTCATCAGAGACTAATACATTATAATAGGAGCCAGAGCTGGATTCTTCTTGAATTTCCCCCACTATCCCAGTGACTACATGGAGTGTCAAAACCCAAAGCACCAAATTGTGAATTTCTAGGAATTAGGGAAGAATGTTTTGAGGCCCGAGTCTTGTATTCTAATGCTGGAAAAACCATTGTGACTTTGAACCAATGTTCCCAAGATAGATGTTGCTAGATTTCTGAGATCTAAGTTAACTCATGCAGCACTAATGTTGGCAACATTTATTTTAATGCTTTCTGATGGTGAAAACTAGAAAAACTAGTTTTGTAGTGGTTAATGTGATCTGGGTGATGCTTGCTTGTTTTTTTCTTGTTCAACTGATTTTATGTTCTTTCTCAACACGTGTATCTAATTAAAGCTATACTTCTAGGGTGGCCCTATTGTCGAGCTTTGCTTTCTATTCAGGGATACAAGATCATTTGTTTGTCCTTGCAGTGTTAGACGTGACCAGTGATGTCAAATTCTTAGTAGGCGTGGCAGCATAGAATCGACCAGGTGAATGTCTGATGAAATGGATTGAGTTTGACAACTGAACCTATCTGAATAGATATCCATTTGGTCGATTTGGATTTTAATTGTAAATCTGTTATTGGAATGAATGGGTCAGATATGGATCTTCTTTGGAAAATCCTCCGTGAATTAGAGTCAAAAGTGAATATGAATGGGCATGAAATGGATCTGTTTGAACTTTGATTAGATATCTGATCCCCAAGCCAAGTTCATTTTATTATTAGGACGTGTGTATTATACATGAGTTTGTATGGTTTGGGATTGGATTATTCACACAGGATCACGCTCGGATTTGAATCTAGGCATGAATCTTGACAGTAGAATATGGTTAATTTACATCTATCCACTGCAGATCCACCCCATTCAATGCCCTGCTAAGGATCCTACCAAGCTTTTGCTAAGCTAAAGTTCTAAGCACAATAAGACATGGAGGCTGGAGCTACTGCTATGGAAGTTTTATTTGTAGAAGGGCATGCTTAGAGAAGGATTTTACAGAAAGTGATGATTGAGGATTGATGGGAAATAGTGCTTTGCTTTTAATGAAAGGGAAGCAGAAATCATAGGTTGAAATTCCTAGTTTGTCCCTTAACCCAGCAGATAAAGTACATTACACAATCCGTTTTAGGGATTGTGGACTTACCCATTTCGTGACTATGGAGCTGGATGTTCCCAGAATGGGTACTATCGGGTTGGGTGAATTCAATAATAAGTGTTTGTTGGCATTTCAGCCTTCTTTTTCTTAGGTCAGCCAACAACTTGTTGCAGCCATTTCAAAGGCTACTATGGCATCCAAATGATCCTAATTGAACTTCAAGTATATGAGAATGGTTAAAATATAGGGAGTGAGATCCAATCATGAAAACTATTTTTCTGAAGATTATTGTCTGTTTTCATTTTGGCAGACCAAATACAGCAAATTCATTTTTGTGGACAATGGGGAAGGGAAATAGTCTCGACTAAGAATTTATTTATAAAAAAGTAAACAGATTTTGAATTGGATGCGTGTAAAATGTAGGAGTATTTTAAATGAATAAGGTCAATAATGTTCTATGAATGTAGTACATTTTTTCTTTATTTCTTCCTTCCTTCTTCCCCTTAAGTCAGCTAAAATATAACAATGACATGGTACAATGACTATTACGATTTCGATTTCGATTTAAGAGATTAAGTTCTACCAATTCCGGAGTTGGCTGGCGAAAACTCGTCCCAACCCTGAGCCGAAGGTGAACTGCTCGACTATGGAGATGTAGGAGACGAACAGCAAGTGGAGGATCACTTCCTTTCACTGCCAATGAGCCACATCTTATACAATGCCAGCAATAGACTAGTTCCCTGGTTGAGGGAGGAGAACGATGAGATCAGAATTAGATACTCATTCAGTGACGAGTCCGCATCACTTCTTCAAGTTGCTGAGGCAGGTTAGCATGAGGAGGGCCACTTATCCAACCAACAAAATAGTAAGATTGTGGTTATTCCTATCTTTTACCATCAGCGTAATTAGTAAATGACTAGCTATACATTACAAATTTTGGATTGCAAAAAATATCGCCAAATTATAACTCCTGAACAAAATATTCTAAAATAAATGCATATACACAAAGTTACAAATAAAAAATAGCTTACTGCGTTAGTTTTCTCCAATATCTCATAATGGATGTGATATTCTAAAATAAATGCATATGCATAAAGTTACACATCTTGAGATAGATTTGGGCCTTGTCAGAAGATTGTAATTGTAAGTAATGGCAAGAGAAATTATCTCTCTGGTTTGTGCTGTTCTGTGGGTATTTCCTTATATATATTGACTTTTTCTATCCGTTTTTTTTTTTTTTTTCTTTTTCTGTATGCACATTTAAATCTAGTCATGCCCGATAATGACTTGGAAGGTGATTAATTTGATGTACAATAAAATAGTTGTTGATTTAAACCTTCTTTTTGAAAATTCTTACATGAATTTGAAATATTGATTTTAACGAATCATAAAACGACATATAAGCTTTTAAAAGTGACATAAAGCAATTAGTATTGTCATGACATAAACATCTCAGTCAAAATAAGCCTGAAGACATTTGTAAATGAGATATTGGAGAAAACTAATGGAGAAAATTATATGAGATATTGGAGAAAACTATAATGCAGTAAGCTATTTATATAGAGGTGTTCTAGTTCTCTCGAGTCTTCTGCACTATTTATAACAAATTAAACTGTTCCCCATCATGGGAACTAGAGTCTTCTGCCCTATTTATAACAAATTAATCTGTTTCCCATGTTATCATCAAAGTGATAATCATCAAACAAATTAATCTGTTCCCCATCCATGGGAACTAGAGTCTTCTGCACTATTTATAACAAATTAATCTGTTCCCCATGTTATCATCAAACAAATTAATCTGTTCCCCATCCATGAATAAAAACAAATGGCAGTGACATGAATATCATGTGCAACCCTTTAATCTAAAAAAAAACCATGAAAATTGATCTTAGGAAAGAACCATGAAACTTCTCTACAAGCCAAAAACCTCAAACCAGTTGAAACCTCCATCAGCTGGAAACCCCATTGCAAATCACCTCAAACCTCCATTCCATCAGAATCAGCAGCTCCCTTTACCAACCAAACTTCAAAATTCAACAACCAAACAAACCCCACGTCTAAAACAATTCAACCCCAACAAACAGCAACCCCTCCCCAAACAAAAATCACCTCCACCAAAATGTCCACTAAAGAAGCAACAAAACTCACCATTACTCACTCACATCTACCATCCTCCAATCCCCTCCTCAATCTCAGGCCAACCTCATGTTCATTCCTCCCACCCCCCCCCCCCCCCCCCCCCCCAATCAACCCAGTAAGATTTACTACACACAACCCTCTCATCAACATATCCCCAGCTCCACACCCACACTCTCAACAGCAAACCACAGTCACTTCCCGAGGAAATCAGCACCTACCAAGGAACTTTAATCCCTTATTATACACTTCCCCTGCTCACCAAATTGATAGACTCCAAGAGCAACTTGAGTGGAAGGATGAAAACCTTGGAAGAGCTCTGGAAATGCACAATAGGCTCAAAAAGATCATCTCTGAACTAAGGTCTGAACTTGCAGAGTCCAAGCTACCGAAGCAACAACAATAAGAAGCTGCACCAGCAGCCACCACCACACCTGGCAGAGACACCGGCAAAAGGGGACCAGGTTTGAATTCTAATTCTAATTCAAATTCAAATTTGAATTGTACTTCAAATGCTATTACCTCACCCCCTCTGCACACCTCACAAACAAACAACCTACACATTGCTAAAAATGGAAACACCACATCCTACTTTCCACCTATTCAAATTCCACAGATACAACCATTCCCCTCTACTGACTTCCAACCAAACTCACCCATCATACCACCTGCCAACCCATTACCCCTTTCAGCATTAGCACAACACATCTCTGACAACCCATCCAATGGACCTATACCACCACCACAAATAATCCAGCAGGTAAATGACATACCTTCTACCTCACTTCTACAACTACCACCAATTATACAACATACAAGTGACAAAAATACATCCATACCTCCACTAGATAATGTCAATGCACTTAATCCTTCTACTATCCAACACCAAAAAACATGGACTGATGTGGTCAAACAATATAATGATAAAATGACATTTGAGTTCCTCCCTCCTTCTCCAAGCACTCCAAACCTCATTGTTCCCCGAAAAGAGGTAGTAGAGGAAATAATCAAATTTTGGTCATCATCTCACCTTGTTGGGGTATCAATCCATAAAAGAATCCCCTTCAAGGTAATTCAAACTGCTGCAGCAAAGCTCTGGGGATCCTACGGACTCACATATACCATTCTTGGAGAAGGGAATACATACTATTTCAGATTCAAATCCACAACTCAAGCTAACAATGTCCTCTTATTGGGCCCTTGGTCAATTGCTGGTCATCCATTCTCCTTGTTGAGATGAAACCAACAAAAACAACCTGCTTCAAATAACCCAACCTGCATTCCCGGGTCCTGTTCTATAATGTACCTACGGAATACTGGACTGCCAAAGGCCTTAGTTACATTACCAGCTCTGTGAGGGAGCCTCTATATGCAGATCTTGCTACTGAAGGAAGGATCAAGCTCAAGTTTTCAAGGGTCTGTGTTAACCTAGACCTCACTAAACCTCTCAAATCTGAGGTTGAGCTGAAAATGGAAGATGGCAGCATAGAACAAATTCGAATTGAATACCAATGGCTCCTAAAATTTTGTTCCAAATGTAATCTGCTCAATCACACTGAAGTTCACTGCCCTCTTCAATATGTTAAACTTCCACAACAAAAGAACAAAGGCATTACTTATCCCACTGACAACAGCAGCATTCCTCAGAAGGACAGATGTAACCAGCACAATCCCACTGATGTTCAATGCCCTCCTTAAAGGGACAACAGCCCAACAGATTATCCTCCAAGCACAGAATGGGTCACAATCAGGAAGAAGAAGAGATGTCCATCAGTTACACAACATGGAAAACCAGCAAAATCACCAGTCAACAAACCCTTCAACCAATTTTCTATACTAACCAACTTTCCTCATGAAAATAACCCAATAATCACCACCACCATCACTAACTCAACTTCTTCCTCACAACAAAATAGCCTTACCTCCCCCCATTCAATGGTTCCTAACACCTTTGGATACTCTTCCTCACAACAAAATAGCCCTACCTCTGCAGGCTCTCCTGACATACATACTCCAATCCATACACCCCTATGCTCTAAGAAATTAAATTTCTCAAGCACAAATAACTCTCCTACCCATCAACTAACCCCAAGCCCCAAAGTTAAGAACCATTGCCAAAACATCACCTCCCCATTCACATTCCCACAAGCCAGTAAACTCACATTGAAGCATGCAAAACACTTGAAGATTAACTCTTCACTCAATGAAGCTGGATGCTCCAAACAACCTACAAATCCAAGCAAAACATGATTGAAGTCAGAAACATAAAAAAAGTGGCTAGAAGAAAGTCTTGTAGCAATTCAGAATTGATGTCTAAGGGTCAACCTCTTGACCATTGGCATCTTGGAGGTTCCCATATCCTCCACCCTCAATGTTTTCTTTCCTTACTTGGAACATTAGAGGGTTAAATTAATCCTCTAAACAGTCAGAGATTAAGAAGCTAATCTTTGACAAGAAGCTTGAACTTGTTTCAATTTTGGAAACAAAGGTGTCTCCTCAAAATATTGATTCAATTCATAGATTTTTGGCCCCCAACTGGTTAATTGTTCACAGTTACAATTTCTCCCAATTGGGCAGAGTCTGGGTAATGTGGAATCCCAATATAATTGATCTTATTGTCCTTCATTCAGATAGACATGCTATCCACTGTAATATTTCAATTATAGGGCTCAATATCTCCTTCTACACATCATTTGTCTATGTTGCTAACAATGTTATTGAGAGGCAGTCACTTTGGGAGAGTATTATTCACCATGTAGGTATTTTTTCCCACTCTCCTTGGCTCTTGATGGGAGATTTCAATGCAGTCCCTCATGTTAATGAAAGACATAGTGGCTCAATGAGGTGGTGTCCAGCAATGACTAACTTCAAAGAGTGTCTTCAACAAGCAGAATTGGAAGACCTGAAATACAATGGAATTCTTTTCTCTTGGTGTAACAGAAGCTTAGGTCTAACATGTATTGCCAAAAATTTAGATAGAGCCTTGGTTAATCAAATGTGGAATTCATCTTTCCAAATATCTGAGTGCAGCTTTCTAGCACCAGGGATCTCTTATCACAGTCCCATCCTTGTAACCATAGAATTTAACATCCCAAAAAGATGCATTCCTTTCAGGTTCTTCAATGCCTGGTCCTCTCACCCTAACTTTATTCCCTTAGTCCATGAAGTATGGTGTACCTATATCCAAGGAACCTCTATGTATCAAGTGGTCCAAAAACTCAAGCTGCTGAAAAAGTCCTCAAATCCAACTATAAAAAAATATTCTCTAATGTTGACTCCAAGCTACAAGCAGTGAAGATGGAACTTGATTCTGCCAATATGATTTGGACAACTCACCATTAGATTCAAACCTAAGGATGATAGAGAAATCTCTTACTACAGAATACCTCAGGTTGGCAAACTTACAAGAAAACATGTTAAGGCAGAAGTCTAGAATGACTGGGTTAAAACTTGGTGACTGTAACTCCTCCTTCTTCCACAAATCAATATCATCCAGAAACAACAAGAGGAAGATTGTCTCACTCACCACAGATGCTGGACAAGTGTTAACAGATTTGGATGCCATTAAAGCTGAGATAGTGACACACTTCCAAAGCCTCCTTGGTTCTTTTCCTCCAGCTACACATACCATCCCAGGATTACAACAATTTTTCAGCAAACAAATTCCAGATCACCTTCATTGTCTTTTGGATGAGATTCCCTCTCAATTGGATATCAAAACCTGTATGCTCAGGCTCAGCAGAGACAAAACTTCGAGTCCAGATGGATACAACACTTTCTTCTTCCATAAATCATAGGAAATTGTAGGAAGGTCAGTGACAAAGGCTATCACAGAATTTTTCAGAAATAGGAAGTTGCTTTCAGAGGCAAACAACACCTACATTGCCTTGGTCCCTAAGTGTCAAAATCCATCCTCCATACATGACTACAAACCAATCTCATGCTGCAACACAATCTACAAGTGTATTTCAAAGCTCCTAGCATCCAAGTTGCAATACACTTTGCCTCACATTATGGATTTGTCACAATCCGCATTCATACAAGGGAGGAAAATCACAGATCCTTTCTTACTTGCTCATGAATTACTGAGGGGTTATCATAGGGACTCTTCCCCCCCAAGATGTGCTATAAAGATTGATCTAGCCAAAGCCTTTGACTCAGTGCAATGGGATTTTATCCTATCTTGTTTTCAACTCCTCAATTTCCTTCTTAAGTTTATCTCACTTATACAAGCCTGTATCACCTTACCTTCCTTCACCATTGCAATAAATGGTGAGTTCCAAGGCTATTTTAAGAGCAAGAGGGGATTAAAGCAAGGGGATCTATTATCTCCCTTCCTATTTGTCATAATTATGGATGTATTGTCCTCAATCATCAATGATTATGCGAGTAGAGCTTCAGCCTTCAAGTACCACTGGAGATGTAGACCACTAAAGATCACTCATCTCTCATATGCATATGCTCTCCTCTTTATCTGCAATGGTGACATTACATCAGTCTCAGTGCTTAAGTGTGCACTTGATTATTTTTGCTCAATGTCTGGCCTCACAATCATTCTCTCCAAGAGTAGTGTTTCCTCTTTGGAATTGACTCCCATACAGAGTCTTTAATCACTAATTTGCTTGGTATTGGGGTTACTTCACTACCTGTGAAATACCTTGGGTCCCATTAATATCAACTAACCTCAATCTTCCCACTGCAGCCTCCTATTTGACAAGATTACTCACAGAATCTCACACTGGACCATAAGATCCCTATCTTATGCAGGTAGACTCCAACTTATCAAGGCTGTCCTAGTCTCAACTCAGATCTATTGGTCAAGTATTTTCATACTTCCAAAGGCAATTATCAATGTGATAAACCAAATTCTCAGAGCTTTCCTCTGGTCTGGGCCTGAATTGAAGACAACTTGTTCCAAGATTGCTTCGGGGAAAGTTTGCAGACCCAAAATAGAAGGAGGGCTCGGAATTCCCAACTTGGAACTCTCCAACAAAGCTGGTATCCTTAGACTCATCTAGGATCTTCACTCTAATGATAATGGAAGGCTTTAGATTAACTGGTGTAAGACTCATTTAATTAAGTCTAGGAACTTTTGGACTCTCAACATCCTACACTCATACTTTTGAAGCAGGAGAAAGATTCTCCAGCTTAGACATCCTGTAAGGCAGCTTATCAGGTATAAAATAGGTAATGGCTTGGACACCTACTTTTGGTGGGATAACTGGGCTCCAGGTGGTCCAATTTGCACAAGATTCCATATCAATCTACTCATAAATGCTGGATTCAACCAAGACATCAGAGTAAGTCATTTCATTTTGGGTCAACATGGTCCTTCCCCAACCAAATCCTAGCTGCATTACCTGAATTGGCTTTTCTACCACCTCCACTGCATTCTACACATGATAAAATGCTTTGGACAGCTTCCCCAAATGGCAACTATAGCTTAAAGCACACAACATTTTATCACTCTCAGCATTCCCCCCCCCCCCCCCCCCCCCCGCCAGTGATTTGGCACAATCTAGTATGGCATTCTCCCACCATTCTTAGAATGAAATTCAATCTCTGGCTTGCTGTCCAATGCAAACTACTTACCTTGGATTGCAAAGCTATAGCTCATCACCAAAACATTTGTCCTCTCTGTCACATCTCCGCTGAATCGCATAACCACCTGTTCTTTAACTGCTGTTTCATCTCACCAATTTGGAGATTTATCAAAGGAAAATGCAATTTAACTCTTCACTTACAAATTGGGAAGATCTAATTCAATGGGTAAGCATTCACTGGAAGAGAAACACTGGCACTAACTTGGTTCGGAAGTTGTGCCTCTCGTCAATGGCCTACCACACGTGGGAGGAACGGAATGAAAGGGTCTTCAGAGGGAAGAACTCATCTCAAAGAACAGTTCTGGCAAAAATCAACTCCTCCATTACTTCAATTCTGAAATTGGGATTCCTCCAAAATTGCCTCATCTCCAAAAGCATTCTAATCAACTGGAATTTGTCGCCTTCCTGTTGTCGGCTTTTGCCGAAGTCGCCGGACTGACTCTTTGCCGGCCATGGCTTCTGTGGCATCTTAGGGCTTCTACCGGATTGTCTGCTAAATCCTCCATTGACTTCTTTGAAGGCCGTTAATTGCGGTTATTTAGCTTGTGTTTGGGTTCTGGGCTGTCCCTTATTTGGGCCCAAATTTGGGCTTCTTTTTTGTCCCTATATGGGCTGTTTCTTGGCCAAAGGCCCATACTGTACTTATACATTTCGAATACATTTATATCAGTTGTTTAATTTTCCGAATACATTTCATTTATATCAGTTGCTTAATTTTCTGAAAAAAAAAAAAAACCCTTTAATCTCAGGTAGGCCTATATAAATGAATTTTAAATTTTAAAATTTGTTAAACTAAAATTATTGTTTCTGACAATTATTTATCCAAGGGTAGCATTAAATTTTTTTTTTGGGTCCGTAATCTTAATATATATATAATGCATTTATTTCAATTGATTGTGTTAGTAGTTTGCCATGTTATCGATATTATTTACCTTATCCATGAAAAAGGGTTTTATTGTTCATGGTTTTATTGAAAAAAAAAATGCCCTTTATTACCATATCCATATCTCTTTTTTGCGTTGAAATATCCTAAAATAAAATCATATAAACTAGTGTGTGTTTGTTTTACTATTTTTTTAAAAAATACAAGTTATC